TATTTAGGCTAATTAATAGTGCCATTAAATAGATCTCAATTTTACGGAATTACTGGAAGTGGAACGGAGTCAATCGGATGAGCGGTTGAGAAGATATGAATTTCGGAAGTTTATTTGGAATTTCTGGAATAAGAGGAATGGTTTATGGAATTTATAGAAATAATATTCTCAAGAATTATTGACAGTCACTAACGTGCGGGACCAAAGGAAATGATTCATGGAATTTTGGAATAAGGAATTGATTTATGGAACAAAGGAAAAAGGATTTTATTAAATCCCTGGGAAAAGAAAATGGATGAGGTACGTGAATTAGACTTCCTCAGGCGGCATTGGTGCGGCCCAAGGGTTGAAGGGGGCTCGGCCGAGCTATTGGGCCGGCGCGGGCGCAAGCAGGCGGCCCATTAGGGCGCGCGGGGGGGGGAGAGGGGGCGGTCCGGTGGACCAAGCCCACCACGCGGGGTCCCGGGTGGGGCCCATATGTCGGCGAGACGGTGCACGGTGGAAGCGGCGCACGCGGGGCGGGCGCTAGGGTTTTGGGTGCACCGGATGGACCGAGGCGCGGCGGGCCCACGTGCAGCCGCATGGCACACCATGGTCCGCGCGCACGGAGGAGGAGACGGAAGGGAGGGGCCGACCGGGTCTGTTGACTCGGTCGTGCCGAGGTGGCGCCGACGTGGCGGCAGCCACGCGGGTCGGCGGAAGGAAGAAGACGAGGCCGGCCGGGATGGACGGCGGATGGCGGCGGCGTTCGCAGGAGCAAGGCGCGACCTCAATGGAAAAAGGAAGCACACCGGGGGAAGGGAAGAGACGAGACGAAGCGAGCCGACGGCTCGGATTCGCCGGAGGATGGCCGGAATCCGGCGGATTGTGGCGGCGGCAATCGCCGGCGAGCAAAGAGGGGAATCACGACGAGACGATGAGGGTTCGATTCAAAGGGGGTGGAGCATCTCCGGGGTTCAAGGAATCCGTTTCCGGTGTCGGATGGGGCGGAGAAGCACTGAGGAGGGCCGGCGACGAGTAGCGGCCTTCGGGAGCGGACGGCAATGGCGGCGAGGCTGTGCCGGGCGGCGACGGCGCTAGGGAATGGTTTGGGGAGGTCCTAGGGAGCTCAAGGACGGTGGTGGCGCGATGTATTGGCGAGAGGGCCCACGGCGGCGCACAGGCGGGCGCGGCGGCGGCGAAGCAGAGCAACGGCGGGGCGGCACGTTTAAGGGACGAGCGAGCAACCGAATGGCTCGGGGCTTATCCAAGATGATGCAGATGGCGAGAATTTGGGCGAGGAGCTCACCGGCGTGCGGGAACGGTATCGGCGGCGATTTGGGGATGGAAAGGGGTGGAAGGCCGATGGCGGCACGCGACCGAGCGGCGACGCACGGCGGATGACGCCGAGGCGGCGCGGCTTCGAGGCGAGTGCGCCGGGGAAGAAGAGAGGGAGAGGTGGCGCCCGGAGCTCCTCGTCACGCGTTCACGCTCGCACCGGCTCCTCCGGTGCTCGGTGACGGACGACGACGACGAGAGCGGGACAAGCGGCAACAAGGCGGCGATGGTGGTTCGGTGGTAATGGCGCTACAGCGGTGGAGACTGAAGCGGGGGGATTGAGAGGAGGGACTCGGCTTTATAGTGGAGGGGGATGTCGGTTTGGGGAGGGAGGAAACCGACTTAGAGCGGTCAAGGCGGCAGCTGGCGGTTTCGTGGGCAGTGAGAAAGCGGCGACGGCGTGGATGCAAGGGCGCGGTGGTGGCGGTGGATCGGACGGCGAGAATCAAACCGCGAGCGCGGGCTGGCGCGGTCAAGGTAATGAGGCGGTCGCGGGCTCGCGGTCTCCGGCGCTAGGCGCCATTGGCGGAGCAGTGTGCCGGTCCGGGAAGAGAAAAAGGAAAAGGGTAGGTAGGAAAAAGGCTCGGTCCCTTGCCATTTTGGTGTGTGAGAGAGAGAGCAGGGTGGCACTGCCTCTCTGCTTTGGAAGCTAGCGGTGGAGCCATGGATGACGTCGACGATGACGGCGGCAGTCGGTTTGGCATGGAGCGGGGGCAAGGCGGCAGCGCGTGGCGTCGGCGGCGCAAGGGCTGATGGCGGCGGCGACCGGCCGGTCGGCCACCTCGCGAGCGCGCGCGGGAATGGGCGAAGGCGGTGGAGGTTTTGGGCGGCGACGGCGGGAAGCGGTGTCGGCGCGAGAGAGAAACGGAGCGAGAAAACGAGAGAGAGAGAGAGAGAGAGAGAGAGAGAGAGAGAGATCCTTCTCTCGGCGATGGCTCGTGCAGCGCACGTGAGGAAGATGGCAAGGGAGAGATGGGCTGGGGAGTGGATCCGGCCCATCCAAAAACACGGAGGAGGCAAAATAGACTTTGACAGAGAGATTGAATTGGAGAGAATTGGAGTTTAGGTTTGAATTCAAATTGCATATTTGAACTCAGCGAAATACAGAAGAGCCAAGGAATGGATTTAAGGTGGACTCGGAAATTTTTGGAATCGGGACAAGTATTTGGTGAGGATTCAAAGGAAGGATTTGAATTTCGGAAACTTGAATCGGGATTGGAAACTTGAGGTGGAGGATTTTGATGGCGACAAGAGAGAACAACAATGGAGATTTGAATTGAGATCTTGGCACAACTTAGACTCTCACACAAAGAACGAAATTTTCGCATATAGGATTTTGGCGAATTAGTTTTTTAACGACTCACGAAAAGCGGAGCGTTACAGGAATGCTATCTATGTTTAAATAAGTTAAAATTATGATTTAATTTAAGAATTATAATCATTTAGCTTTCTAATTGTTGATCTTTCTTTACTTAGTTGAAAATTAGGAGATAAAGGAATTAAATGAGTGAGGAGAGGAAGAGAGAGTTGAAGGGTAGAGATTATGCGTGCATATAATAATTCTTTTTAGCGGATTGTAGTGTCTTAGTTGCTATTAATTTTTTAACTAAAAATTGAAAAATGATTTATTCATTGATTAAAATATATCATTTTTACTTGTCTTTTCCAGTATATTTGCAGAAGATATTAAAAATATGAACACTACAATCTAATAATGTTATTTTGACTTATTCTAATGTTATAATGAGGGAGTAGTTTTCTAAAACATTACTCATGGTTAGGTTCATTTTACTTTTATCCATATAGATCTAATTTAATTATTCCGATGTCATATATGTTGATAAAATCTATATCATTATCTTTCTATAATTTCATAATTATTCGAATGGCACACAAAAAATTAGAAAATATAGCCCCAAAGTGACATATTTCTTCTCGAAGTCGATATTACAGTGGATATGGGTCTTTAAATGTAAAATAATCTAAAGACATAAGTTCATCAAATATTAGTTGTGTGATTTAGATGTTATAGTTGCTTTTTTTTTGCATAATTTTGCTTTCTAAGTAACATATTTTGGAAACATTACTCATAGTATATTCATTTTACTTTTATGATTGTAGACTTAATTTAATTATTATGAAGTTATGTATCATGATATAATCTATATTATTATTAGTATTTTATATTCTTATAATTACTTGAATGGCACGCAAAAGTCATGAAATATAAACCAAAATGACATTATTTTTTCAAAGCTAAATTATAGTGAAATATGGTCTTCAACTAAATTTTGTTATAAATAATTTAAAGATTTACGCGGATAAGAAATTAGTTGTATGATTCAAAAGCTTACTTGTTTAACACAAAATTATTGCTTATCTAACTAATAAGGTATGAAAATATGAGAAGGAATAGGTGAAAAGGTAGAGAAATGAATTGAAGGAAGAGGAGGCGTAGATATGTACATTCGTTTTTGTACATACAGGCTTAGGTGGTCCCGGGTTTAGGAGAGTAATTTTTTTCTTGAAAATTAATCTAATGGCTATAAATAATCGGTCCACCAAATTAAATGAAATATGTTTTTGTTATTTCAGTTTTTTTAAGATTTTCACTAATTTATTAGAGCATCACATGACAACTTAGGAATGTTTGTAGGATGCCATATGGCGAATTAGGAGCATTTTTGAGAAGTTTAATGGATTTTTAGGCATCTAATCTAATGTTCTAAAACATCGATCGGGTCCACCAATTTAAATAAAAATCGACGGTGATATTTATGTAAATTTATGGAGTAATATGTTTTATTTCTAAATAATAGAAAATCCTATTTTAAATATCATCAAATTTTTGCAAGGTACTAAGTACGTATGTTTTTTTTTTCTTATTGATTTTATGGTAATTCTGTGTGTAGTTTTTTTTTCTTCATTAGTTCAGTTGTACGCACGTACAAATTTCTCCCGCACACATAAACACGTAACAGCCCAAGAATTAGTTTCTTAAAATAAAATATATGCAATCTAATGGCCTAAGATATCGGGTCCACCGGAAAGTTTAATCTAATGGTTTAAAATATCGGGTCCACCAATTTAACTGAAAATCGATGGTTAGATTTGATAGAGCCATGTGGCGGCCTAAGAGCATTTGTAGGAGTCCCACGTGGCAGCTTGAGAGCGTTTGTAGGAAGTTTAATTGACAATAGATTAGTCCATGATTAGCTTATAAATACTACAGTAATCCACTTATGCTAATGATGGTTTAATTAGGTTCAAAAGATTTGTCCTACGGTTTCGAGACGAGTTATAAATTAGTTTTTTATTTGTGTCCTAGAACCCCTTCCGACATCTGATCAAACATCCGATATATTACCCAAAAATTTTATTTCCGCGATCTAAACAGGGCCTTATCCAATTCCCAGCTGCTTTCGCAACCTCTCGCGATCTGCCTCGATCCCTTCTACTCCTACTCCACTTGCTGCTGATCGCATCGCCTCGCATGCATGGCGCGGCGGCTTCATCTCATCGAGCTCGACCGACCGACGCGCACATGCCTTCCCTTCCTTCCTCTGCCAATGGCCGCGCGTCAGCCGGAGAAGAGAATCCATGCATCGTCTCGCCGTCTAGCTTATTAATGTGTACTCAGTCTACAGTATCGAGATGTCTATCTATCTAGTCGACCGGCAGCCATGGCGCCCGGAGGAGCTCCAGCACGAAGCTTCGTGGTCGTCGTCCTCGCCGTCATCGCGCTCTCCGCAATCGTCGCCGTGGCCGGCACGAAGAAGGCGCTGGTGATGACAACCACACGGCCATTCCTTCTCGCTCAGAGCCAGCCCTTTAATTAATTATATTTGTGCTGAGCTATAGCTTTCTGCTCTTCTCTCTTCTAGTCCACCGTGGACGTGGAGGAGGAGCTCGACGCGGCGCGCGCCGCGATACGACGGGCGGCGCGGCAGCATCGCCGCGGCGGAGGCGGAGACGTCGGCTCCGCCAACTGGCTGAGGTTCTACGGCGGCGAGGCGGACTACGACCTCCTCTCGCGCGTCTACCGCAACCCGGCGGCGTTCTACCGGTATGATTATTAGCTGACCCATCGATCCGTACGCCGCGTCGTCTCCGTCGATCACGAGCGTGCAGTGCACCATGGTGGATGCAGGAGCTACGTGGAGATGGAGAGGCGGTTCAAGGTGTACGTGTACGAGGAAGGCGAGCCGCCCATCCTGCACGAGGGCCCGTGCAAGAACATCTACACCATCGAGGGCAGCTTCATCGAGCAGCTCGAGCTCATGTCGCCGTCGGACGCCGGCGGCGGCGTCCGGACGTGGGACCCAACGCGCGCCCACGCCTTCTTCCTGCCGTTCAGCGTCTCCCAGATGGTCAAGTTCGTCTACCGCCCGCCCTCCCAGGACCGCGCCCCGCTCCGCGCCATCGTCGCCGACTACGTCCGCGTCGTCGCCGCCCGCCACCCCTTCTGGAATCGCTCCGCCGGCGCCGACCACTTCATGCTCTCCTGCCATGATTGGGTAAGTAGAAGCTTAGCTACATGTGCAGCAAGGTTTTCGATGGTTTTTGTGATGACACGTGTTCGGCGGCGTAGGGGCCATACGCGTCGAGGGGGCAGCCGGAGCTGTACACGAACGCCATCCGCGCGCTCTGCAACGCCAACACGTCGGAGGGGTTCCGGCCGGGGAAGGACGTGAGCGTCCCGGAGATCAACCTCTACGACGGCGACATGCCGCGGGAGCTCCTGGCGCCGGCGCCGGGGCTGGAGTCCCGCCCGCTCCTCGCCTTCTTCGCCGGCGGCCGGCACGGGCACGTCCGCGACCTCCTGCTCCGCCACTGGAAGGGACGGGACGCGGCCACGTTCCCGGTGTACGAGTACGACCTCCCCGCCGCCGGCGACTACTACTCGTTCATGCGGCGCGCGCGCTTCTGCCTGTGCCCGAGCGGGCACGAGGTGGCGAGCCCGCGGGTGGTGGAGGCGATCCAGGCCGAGTGCGTGCCCGTGGTCATCGCCGACGGGTACGCGCTGCCGTTCGCCGACGTGCTGCGGTGGGAGGCGTTCTCGGTGGCGGTGGCGGTGGGCGACATCCCCAGGCTGAGGGAGAGGCTGGAGAGGATACCGGCGGCGGAGGTGGAGCGGCTCCGGCGAGGGGTGAGGCTGGTGAAGCGACACCTGATGCTGCAGCAGCCGCCGCGGAGGCTGGACATGTTCAACATGATCCTGCACTCTGTCTGGCTCAGGGGGCTCAACTTGAGACTCCACCGTTGACCTGCAATGCAAGCATCCCACTCCCACACAACACAGCTGGCCAACAAAGAAAGTCGATTTTTATCCCTCCATGGAACATCCCCTCATTTTGTACATGACATTTAAAAAGTTATCAATTTATTTTTAAAAAAATTTGGTCAAGATAGAACAATATATGATATATCTTTTTTTCAAACATGCAAGCAGTGGCGGAGATAGCGTTTGTCTGAGACTATTAGAGCCCCCATTAAAACCCCCTCTAAAATTTAAATCCATATATCTATTGCAAGAGGGTTAAAATAGACTTTGTCTGATATTGTTATAAGACCCAAAAGGCTGAGGAGCCCCCACTATAATTTTATCCTGGCTCCGCCACTGCATGCAAGTTAAAATTCGACTTATACAATTCGAAACAAAAATAACAAATTTGACTGTGAATTGCACGTTCTATTCATAGCCATATTTGTTATTTTTGTTTTTACTTTTATAAATTGAATTTGAATATGCATGTTTGTGAAGTGACATGTCACATATTGATCTATCATACTATTTTCTTTTCAAATTTTTTAATGACTTTTAAGTGACATGTAAAAACAAGAGAATATCCCCTTAAGGGATGAATAGAGTTTTCCATCAATAGAAATATATATATAATATATATATATATATATATATGGGATATATATATATATATATATGGGAAGTGGATTTTTTTTCCTCTCGAGGGACATCTATATGCATGTTTGACATGTTTTTTTATGGCAAACACAGAGGCGCGTTGTGGCAATCTAGTTTGGCACACGAGAGCACCGACAAAGGTTAAGTTCTTTATGTGGCTGGCAGAAAAAGGCCGTTGCCTAATGGCCGATAACCTAAGCAAGCGCGGATGGCCACACCATCAAACATGCTCACTGTGCACCAGCAACGACGAGGACTGTGAACATCTCTTTGTTTCCTACCCATATACCATCAGAGTATGGAGGATGATCAAGGGCAAGGGTTGGGTTGGAATTGGCATCCAACTGCCGGCTGAAGCAGGGTTGGAACTAGGGGAATGGTGGCTTTTAGCGTGGCAAGGAGTTCAGACTAGCTGTAGGAGCGCTTTTTACACGCTAGTTTTGCTTGTCTGTTGGATGGTTTGGAAGGAGAGAAACGCACGTGTTTTCCAGAGTTAGAGCCGGACAGCGGGTAGCCTCTTTGCTTTGATTAAAAAGGAGGTTGTGGTCTGGAAAGAAGCTAGGGTTTTCAAAGTTTTAGGAGAGTAACAACAGCATGATGTAATTGTTTTTTCTTTCGGGAAGTTGCCCTTGTGACAACATCCTTTTACCTTGACAGCCTCTTGTCGAAGTTGGAACCTTGTAAATATATACATACCCCTTTCTTAAGTAAATTTGGTCCGCCTATCTTAGGCCGGCCCGGCAAAAGATTTCTCGCTGCATCTCCTCTTCGTCTTGGGTGTATCCTCAGACCTGGGACTTCTCACTTTGTCCTGCACCAGAGAGGCGATTCAAACTGAAAGAATAATTAATAGTATGGTCTAATTACAGTGAGTAAGCCTGTCTAATTTCACTGATCAGCTAAGGAAGAAAAGACGGCAGCGCCAAATCTGGCTTAATGCAGGCAGCATCTTTTAATTAATCGAGTGAGGAAACAATAAGAACTGAATAAATGGTTCCTGGTTCTTGAGTACCAGATCAATGAACATAGTGCCTAATGCGACAATGACAAGAACAGCAACAGTGTGTATGAAACACCATCATGCATATCTTGTAGCATTTATGGTCATGAAGAAAAACATTATTGGTCCATCCATTCATGAATCCTCAATTAATTATAAGATGTGCAAGACACTAATCAAATATTTCTGAGAAAAAAAGGTGGCAATTAGCTCACTCCTGATCATAAATAGCACAATTCATAACTAGGCCTCGGCCAAATTCCAAATCATGCTGCGGCCAAATTAAAGAAATTTAATTAACAACATCAACAGTACTGTGACCACCAGCCTTTTCCACTGACCTTGGAAGAAGGAAAGGAAGACTGTTGCAGTATGGTCATCATAACATCCAAGGCTCTGATCCTGATCAATCGGCTCTCCTCGAGCTCACAACACGGAAGTGATAATGATTTGCTGAAGATGACAAGCTTGTTCTCTTTCTTCATCCAATCACACAGCATTTTAGCCTCCTTTGCAACACCCTTGAATTGAATCGAGGCAATCCATCATTTTAATTAATTTGCAGTTATGTAGTGGCAATACATTTAGTTTAAGCGCATTAGTGTTTTGGCAGAAGGATGACGCACCAGCATGGCACCGGCGGCAACAAGAGATTGGCATCCTTGGAGATGGAAAAGGCTCATGGCACACAGGCGAATGACACTGCTTTGCTGGATGATGTCATCCGTATCAGTAGCGCCATGCTTGAGCAACTCAAGCATCAGCTCAGCCTCCTTAGCGATACACTTAATTGGATCCATTCGTTTAAATTACATTATTAGTCAACACACGGCCAAAATGGGCAAATAAAATAATGAGTAAATTTTAGAAAATCCCAACTTTAAGATGCACAAAACTACAAGTATTATGACGCATGGAACATAAACACAGTTCTTATGGTCTACGTGTTTCATGAGACCCCGCCTTTATTAAAATCCAACATATTTGAAAATATGTTACAGCATATTTGAAACAATATTTTCAAAGTAGCGAAGAGGTGAGTCAAGAACTTAATAAATAATTTTTTAATACATTCTATGTTTAGAATTTTAAGTAAATTTTCTCAACATATACAAAGGTGGGGTTTCGTGAAACTTTCGAACTATGATATCTGGGATTATATCCCACAAGGCATAATACCTGTATTTTTCTGTAGCTTTGATCATAAAACATGGAATTTAAGTTCACTCTAAAATAATCTATCTGGATGCTAGCTAGCTTGCTACCCAAAGGATTACATACCAGAAAAACTACTGCTGCAGAAGCAGCAGGAGGCATTTCTTCACCCCCTGCAGAAGAAGAAGAAGAGGCAGGAGCAGCAGCTATGGTTGAAAGTGCACGATGCTTGATCAGGCTACTCTGAACAATGGTGTCGACGGGCAAGATATCCTCCTGTAAAGGTGTCATCCGGCTCTTCCCACTGGTGGAGAAATCATCTTTAGTCGGTCGACCAGATTTTACAATAGTCCCCGGGACTAAAAATATCTTTAATCCCGGTTTAAAAGCTACAGGGTACTTTTCAATCTTTAGTACCGGTTGGTGTTACCAACCGGGACTAAAGATATATTTGTAGTCCCAGTTAATAACACCAACCGGGAAAAAAGATCACCATACGCTTTACTCCACTAAAAATCTATTTATGGTCCAACCAATCGGGAGTAAAGATCGACGCGGAGATCGGAGAGGTATGCGTGATCGGATCGAGGTATCTCCTCCTCTCCTTTAACTCCACTCCCCTCCTCTCCTCAACCCTATCTCCTCCTCTCATTATTAACTCCTCTCCTCAACCTTATCTATTCTTCTTCTTATCTCTATTCCTCTCCTTCTCCTCTCTACTGCTAGGCCGGCGCGAGGGCGGCGGGGCGTGGAGGGCTGGCCGGCCGGCCGGCGCGCGGCTTTCTCTTTTTTAATTCCAAATTTCAACTATTTCTAAATTGTATTTCTATATGGACTCTATTTTTCTTTTTGTCCGGTTAATATGAGAATTTCTAAGCCATGAGAGCGAACGCGGATGCTTCTTTTTCTATTCCTTTAATAAGTTAATAGATGGATTTTAAAAATCGAGTATAATTATTGTTTGGATTCATTTTTTTATTTTCTAGAAGTCCCGCCAAACCGTTAGTGGCTTTGCTACTATACTCTTCTACGGCTCGCAAGTTGCCTCCCCTCTTTATTGTCATTGAGATTTTAAAATCGAACATGATTATCATTAGGATTATTCTCTTTTTTTTTTTACTTTTTAGAAGTCCCAAACCTTTAAAAATTGGAACTTGTAGTTTTTAGAGTTTATTGTCTCGTTGGGTTTCATTTTTATAATTTTTAGAAGTCTCGTCAAACGCTACCACTATATTCCTCTATAGCCCGTCTGATGCCTCATCTCTTTATTGTCATTGGGATTTTAAAAATCGAACATAATTATTATTTGGGTTCACTCTTTTGCCAAACCGTTAACAACTTTGTCACTGTACTCTTCTACGGCTTGCCCTCGACCTCCCATCTTTATTGTCATTAAGATTTTAAAATCGAACATGACTATTATTTGGGTTTATTTTTCTACTTTTAGAAGTCTTGAACCTTTAAACAATGGACCTTGCAGTTTTTAGAGTTTATTATCTCGTTGGGTTTCATTTTATAGTTTTTAAAAGTGTCATCAAACGCTGTCACTATACTCCTGTATGACCCGTCCGATGCCTCCTTTCTTTATTATCATTGAGATTTTAAAAATCAAACATAATTATCATTTAGGTTCATTTTCAACTATCTAGAAGTCTCGCTAAACCATCAGCTGCTTTTCCACTGTACAACTCTGCGGCTCACCCGCTGCCTCCCCTCTTTAGTGTCATTAAGATTTATTCAAACATAATTATTATTGGGGTTTATTTTTTACTTTTTAGAAGTCCTGCCAACTGCCGTGAAGTATTTGCTTAACGGCATGTCCGCTATCCCTTCTTGTAATCGTTTTTGAGATTCTATTGAAGTTTTATTAATAGTTTTTGGATCTCCCATCCACCATAACCAATCTACTCCTTTACAGGCATGCTGCTTCTCTCATCTTTACTGTCATTTGTCATTTGTGTTCTAGATGGAATTTTTTGTTTGAAAATTCCATATTTTTCATTCCACAATTTTTTTGATTTATAAATTATATTCCTACTCGAACTCTTATAATTATTTTTCTATTTTCAGAATTTCGTTTATTTTGTATTCAGAATTTTAATTAATCTTGTCACGCGTTCTAGATGGTCGTTTCTTTCATTAGTCTTTATTTTCTATTACAAATTTTAGTTATTTATAAATTATATTCCTAGTTGAACTCTTGTTTTTCTTTTTCTCATTTCAGAATTCATTTTATTTTTATTTTGATTTTTAATTAATCCCGTATCGTGTTCTATATGGATTATTCTTTTAGTATTTATTTTTTATTATTTCTAATTTTAGTTGTTCAAAAATTATATTCTTACTCGAACTCTCTTTTTATTTTTCTAATTGCGGATTTTATTTATTTTGTATTTCGAATTTTAATTAATCTCGTATTGTGTTCTACGAACTCTTCTTTTAATATTACTTATTTCTGAATTTCCACTATTTTTAAATTGTATTTCTACTTGAACTCTTCTTTTCCTTTCTTATAATTTTTTATTTTATTTTTATTGTTATTCTCAAATTTAATTAATCTCGTATTTGTTTCTTATATGGACTCGTCTTTCAGTATTGCTTATTTTTAATTCCAAATTTTAGATATTTCTAAATTGTATTCCTACATGGACTCTCTTTTCTTTTTTCCGATTAATGTGGAAATTTCTAGCCTCCACAGCGAACGTGGTGTCTCCTTTCAAAGCTGTTTCCATAATATAATAGATAGATAGATAGATTCCCTTCTCTTTTATTTTTAACTCAAATACAAAACCCACAAGAACTAGATATCCAAATGAACAAATCAAGTCATATCTGATTTTCCATTTGTTTAAATTATTGTTTTATTTATATTAAAGAAAAAAATTAAGATTCACCTCCGTCTGAGACGTTGTGGCGCCATTGGTCGTTGTCGGGAGGAATGGGTCTCCGTCTCCGAGCACAAAAACAAGTGCGTGTGGGAAATGGTTCAAATTCCAGTCCTATGCATGAATCAACGGCCTAAAATTCGAAAGTTATTTATCCAATTTTCTGTCGCAGGAAGTCTATATATAACAAATCCGTAGAAAGATGAGGAAATATTGAAAACGAAATAAGCTAGTTAACGTACAAGCTTATACACCTATACATAGTCCTATATGAATATGATACTAGTGCTTAGGTTCCGTGTGTCGTCGCTTGCGCACAAAGCGACACACCAGCACGGACACCATGGCCGCCACGCCCGCCACCGACCCGACCACCGCCAGCAGTATCACCACCCACGACGTCCTCTTCTTCCCCCCGCCGCCGTCATCGCCGCGCAACCTCTCCACGGTCAGCTCCCAGCCACGGACGCCGACGATGATATCCCCGATCGTCCCGCCAAAGAAGCCGACGAGCGCGGTCTGGGTGGTGCGCCCGCCGGCGAGGTATAGCGGCACGTCGAGGAGGGCATTAGATGGCCGTGGCTCGCCGGCGGCGGCGACGTGCACCGACAGGCGGTGCTCGACGGCGTCGTACTGGATCCACACCGTGCTGCCGCTCGGCGCCGTAGTGCGGTTTGGCGTGACGGTGACGTTGAGGCCGACGTCGGGGGACTCTCTGCCGTAGGACTTCACCGTGCCGACCTCGACGGCGACGAGGCTGTTCGTGGCGTTGCCGTCGTCGCCATCGGCGGCGGATGAGACGTTGCTCCCACGGAGGCCACTCTGGTCAAGGAGCGGTGGATACCTGTCGAGGAGGACGACGAACGCGACGGGAGAGGCGGCGGCGACGACGGTGAACGTCGTGTTGAAGGATGCCTCGCGAGCCGGCGCCCCGGCGGAGCCGACGCCGTCGCGCCAGACGTCGATGTCGCCGGAGAGGAGCAGGAAGCCCTCGGAGACGTTGAAGCCGTGGGGGAAATCGGGGTCGAAGAGGAGGCGGGCGGTGGTGAGGATTGACGCGTTGGTGGCGGCGACGAGGCTGTCGTCGCGTGTCGTCGTCGCGTTGAAGGCCGGGTAGCTGTACGACACAACGTCGCCGGCCGCCGCCGCCGCCGCCGTCGCGACGCCGAGAAGAGCTAGGACGACTAGCATCATCTTGTACAGATTATAGAGAGATTGCATTTACTTGTGATGGATAAGAGAATGGGAGATGCGTTAATTTATAGCTGAGGTTTGGATCGATGCAGATAATTAGTGCAGTGGTCAAACTTACACTAGGAAAAGTCAGCGTCTCAATCAAAGCTGAAGATTGGTCAAACTAGCTAAGCTAGTCAAATTGATCAGTATCCGTGCTGTTCTAACAATGGATTATTATATTTATCTCTCGTTGATTAAAACTTAAAAGCAGAGGAAAATTAAGCTTACGTTTGAGAGAACATGGGAGAGTCAACTATTAAAAGCTACTCCACTCCACTTCACTAGTAACGCTCAACATGCTTTGCATTTGCATCGCCTTGAGAAATTCATTCGCTTCTCCGTGGTTTCTCCACTAATTAATTAACCACGGAGGACTAATCAAACGTTATCATACATATTGAATAGCTAGCTAGTATGTCATCTTTGAACATGAACTAAGGTTCACATGGCTTTTGATTTGTCTAGTCCAGGTTCGTACATATACGGCTCTGTGTACAATTCTATTGGATGATCTTTCATAATTAGGCGGTAATTTATACACTTTCTCATCTCTTGTCTATCTTTATCTCCACTTACTAGTAAGCGCATGCATGTGCATTGTAATAGAAGTACAGTGATTGGCGGACGGACAGCTGAGTGGGATGACAAGTTAGGGTATATACAATGGTTAGGGAGCTTATAGGGAGTAACCATCTAAAAAGTATTCGACACAAAACGGAGCCAACCAGGCAACCACAGTCGAATTTTTCTAAACCTCTAATCCTTACTTAACGACAAGATTAGTGGGCTTCCACGTACAGAAACTTTCACGATTAATTTTTTTTTTAGAGAAAAGGCTTCACAGCCCTGCTTCTATTGAAAGCATAGTCGTAACATAGGTTATGGGGGATGCCCATTTTACAGTTAAAGGCAAAGCACCGATGCTAATACAAAACACAGTTTGCAAAGAGCTCTAATCAGGGGACACCTCTGAAGCAGCCTACAGCCAAGATAGAAGGAGATAATAAAAGCATCCTATAGAAAGCCCTAATCAAACATCAACCAACACCCACTCTACGGGGTCCTAGCACAGATATTGTAGATTTCAGCTTCTCCACCAAACCTTCCATCAGCTGGAGTTCCTCAGGACGATAGAGGGCTTTCCACTGCAAAAGAAAGGAAACAATTTGATAGGGAATGATTAGTGGAGAATAGACCAGCTTGCCCCTAAAAATCATGTTATTTCTAGTAATCCAAAGAACCTAGGCAATTGCCACAAGCAAAGCTGAAAAAACTCTAGAATTTGACTTATTATAACGGTCAATCAGGAGAAAGAAGTCATCAAAATCCCTAGGGGTTAATTTATTAGGTACATACTTTAATTTATTTCTCAAACCACAATACTGTATCAAGTCATATTTCATATTGACATATAGACCAAAGATAAGTAATTCTACTTATCATCTATTTAAACATGCTACTAGTTATTCCTCGTAAATAAGCGATTCATTAATATTTACATTTCTCAATATCGATGTAGCCAATTCTGTGTGGAAGAATGGAGTCACATATTAAATCCGAGAAAGTCATTAAGATGATAGGTTGTTGGATTGAAATATACCTATCAAAAATAAATTTTTCAGATTTGAAAATATGACTATCAAAAGTAGATGGAATGAGTATATTAATACTCCATCCATCTACTTTTGATAGTCATATTTAATCTTGACACACAGACCAATGATAAGTAATTCTACTTATCATATATTTAAACATACTACTAGCCATTCCTCGTAAACAAGCGATTCATTAATATTTATATTTCTCGATGCCTATATAGCCAATCTTGTGTGGAAGAATGGAGAGTCACGCATTAATTTCGAGAAAGTCATTAATTTCGATGATATGTTGTTGGATTGAAATATGCCTATCAAAAATAAATTTTTCAGATTCAAAAATATGTTTATCAAAAGTAGATGGGGGAGTGTAATTTTGGCCCAACCACTGCTCTACTACCGAGAAGACCAACGTTCGACTCCTCACCACTGCGTATTTTTCATGCAACTAGCCACTAGCACGAATCTTAATGTATATCCTATATGGCAAATGACAATTTCTTTTGAAAAAAAACTAACGACACATTAATTTATAGAAAATCTATATCCTATATGGCCAATGACAATTTCTTTTGAAAGAAAACTAACGACACATTAATTTATAGAAAATCCGTTTAGAAATGTTCACTAGGTAAGTTCGCTGACATAAAAGTGAGAGAAAGCTAGATTGTTGTTAATATTTATAAAAGGAACCTTTGTTGCATGACAATAGAAAAAAGGAAAGAAAGATATAAAAATTGTTTCGGGGCATTAATTTTTAGTCTTTTGTCATCTTAACTATTTAACTATTGTAGGATAATAGTCTCTCGGTAAAATAAGATCTTAGTAAAATAAGATTTTATAGCATGTTCTATTGAACATACCCTAAGAAGCTAAGAAAGATAGAAGGGTTGGTCATTCAACGACAACCAGCACCTACAGGTTGGAACATCATTTTGTGCCCAGGCTATCCTCGGTGATACAGCTGATCAACTACAGGAATTGAGGCTTTCTCCTGCAAAATGAATCCCTGGCGGGACACATTGACATCAGGAATAGGAGGGGCGTGTTGGCGTCAGCTATAGATGGCTAAACGGGCCGTCCGGCCCGGTCTAGACATGACCGGGTCTGAGCCGAGGTCAGTTAGGCCAGCACGGTCAGAAGGGTCCAGAATATACCCTCATTCTTGTGGCTGCTTCACTTTCAACAAGATTGATTTGGCCTCCTTTGTCTTTTTACGAATCCAACAGCTTACATTTGCCGGATTATTGGCACATTTTGATTGCAGATTAGAATTTACATTTCACTTAGTGAGATATGTACATCAATTAGTCATATCACCTTCAAATATAGTGCACTGTCCAAAGTAAAATACTTGAAAGTAGCTAGTGGGTGGAATTTCATATTGTTAACTTAATTTGGAAGAAAAAGAAACTCTGTTTTCCCTATCAGTCATCCATCAAAAGAAAAAACACAGTAGCAACTAGCAAGCAAAACCAATTTAGAAATAAGCGTTCATTTATATGTCGATTGAGTTCTATTACACATAAATCAAATCAAACTATCTTGTCTCCTTGAGTAGCTTTCGGCAATCAATCAACATTCACGCGAGGGCACTTGACTGTGACACACACAAACTGCAACCGGCCCTCTTATTCCACGCATAAACCAACCAAAATCAAACTCATCCACAACACTTAATGCAACCCATTATTTCTTGATTTTTATTTAAATCGGTGAACCTTTAAATCATTAGATCTACATATGTTAAAAAGAGGAAAAATTAGTTATATAGCATCGAAAGTTCACGTTTTGGTGTTATAGCACCGAAAGATACCAGTTCACTTTAATAGAATCCAAAGTTCAACTCGTTCCCATTTTTAACACTTCTATTAATTCTCAATCGTTTTCCATCCGCCTTGATCGCTATTGATCCAACCACGCACATCGTTTCTACCCCTCATTGCCATGCATTCTACTTGTACTTGTGAGGGGTAGAAACGTCATATCGCATCCGTGGTTGGGTCAATAGCGATCAAGGCGGACGGAAAACGATTGAGAATTAACGGAAGTGTTAAAATGGGAACGGGGTGAATTTTAGGTGCTATTAAAGTGAACTGGTATCTTTCGGTTCTATAAAATAAAAATTGTGAACTTTCGATGCTATATAACCAATTTTGCCTTCGTCTTCGTCTTCTTAATTAAGGATCTAGAAGCCGGCTCAGTTGCTTCTAGGTCCTAGGTCTAGCCACCTCTCCCTTTAAATCATTATGTGGAACTCTTAAAATAAACAAATACATTCTACCATCCGTTTCTACTTAAATTGAGTGCCACATTGTTTTAGAGAAAATAAAAATAAATATCCGGCCATCGGTTTTTACTTAAATCGATAGATATATTATTTTAGATCGTTAGATTTATCTTTTCTTTTTAAATATACCAAACCTCCCTCCCCACCCCCTTTGATGTTAAAGTCCATTAAATATCCTACAATTTTTTTTCTAAACTGCTATGTTGCACTCTTAAATTAGAGCAAATCCCTAAATATTCCAATGGAAAAAACATTCAATCATTGGTTTCTATTTAAATCGATGAATATATTATTTCACATCATTTTTAGATATACTTTTTTTTAAAAAAAAAGGAAATCAGAAACCTCCTTCCCTCCCTCCACATCCCCATGCGGTGCTAAAGTCCAATGACTCTTACCAAAATAATTTCAATTAATTGTGTCCTAATTGGAGTTCAGTTCTCCATTTTCCTGTTCCAAGTCAGAATATGTGCCTAGCTACTGATCGGACAATCATCCATGGACAAGAAGCTGCTGCAGCTTTCAATGTTCCTGTTAGCCAACACTCAAAGCAGAAGCAACCACCGGTAGTTGGGTTGCAGCTATCAAATATGCATGAGTGGTTGTGCAAATGTTGGGCGTGCCCAGCTATATATGATTATGATTATTCCAGAACAAGGAAAACTAATTGTTTGCTCCTTTCAGGTTTGCAAAACCCCAAAACTCTGTGTAGTACTACATGGTGAAGCTACTAAAATATTTTGGGTAGGAATCTGTCTTTCCTACCTTTGTCTGTAACGTTCTTTTTAAGATATATAATGGTGATTTCATTCAGAAAGAGACCATGCATGGTGAGTTCATTTTTGCATCCTAGTTTCACTGACCTGCACAAAAGGTTCCAAACTTTTATTAAAATAATTTTATGCAAAGCACATCTGGGAAACTTGTTTTCGTCTGAAATCCTGAGAGAAAGACGCTTTCACTCAGATATTTAGGTTATATTTGAAAGTTCAGAGTGTTAGTTTGCACGTTTATCGTAGCATGTTTTATCCCTTTCTTTTTAGTGTTTGATCTAACTCTATCAGTATCACCTAACCATCAATCTTTGTTGTCATGCCAAAACCGTATTTACTTTTATGTTATATTTTACAAAACATTGTCAAACATTCAACTTCAGTTTGAATATTTTGACCAAATTAAATCAGTACAATATCCGAAGTTTCGATAATTCCAAAACCCTGCAAAAAAAATTTAACGGAGAAAAATAACCTTGAAACACGGAGCTGAAAGACAATAGCCCCAAAAAAGTATAATACGGTTCTTAAAAAAAGTACTACCTCGCGATCCCAAAATATATGATGCCACGGATTTATCACATAATGTCTGATCATTCATCTTATTTAAAAATTTAATATAAATATGTAAAAATATAAATTAAGATTATAGTTTTTTTAATGATAAGTTTAAAGATCGCCTATGCACTTTACTCAATAAATAAAAAAAATAATATTATATATATTTAATAAAACGCTATAAAAAAATCAACAGAACCATATATTTGAGCCAGAAGAAGTATAATAAATAAAAATGTGGGATAGATTAGGTGGGTAAGCTCTCCTATCCTTAATTAACAAGTGTGCTTTCTCGTTCCTACACTCGGTGCGTGCGTGGGTCACTTGATCACTGAAGCGCACCAGCTAAGCTCACCGTCTTCTTCCTCGCCGTCGCCGGAGGCCGGAGCAATGCCGACGGTGCGGCGGCGCCACCCGGACGTGCACGTGAAGGCGCTGGAGGGCATCGTGTCGGCCAACACCTTCTTCACGGTGGCCGTCTTCATCGGCATCACCGGCACCATCACGCCGTCGTCCTCGATCCCCCCCAACTGCGTCGCCGGCGACGACATCGCCCGCAACTTCTTCCTCTTCGAGATCCTCTCCTTCGGCTTCTACCTGCTCTCCAGCCTGGTGGCGCAGGGCATGAAGCTGGCCGTCACCCTCCTCGCCACCGACGACTTCTACGGCGACGGCGAGCAGAAGCCCCCGCCGTCCGACGACTGCGAGGAGATGCCCGCGTGGCGCGCCGCCGCGCCGCGGGAGCGCCGCCGCGCCGTGCTCCGGTTCGCGCGGCCGATGATGCTGCTCGCGGCGGGCTGCTCCATCATGGGCACCTTCTTCCTGCTGCTGTCCATGGTGGACGCCATCCAGCTCAAGTTCGGCCTCGTCTCCTGCAACATCCCCCTCGCCGTCGGCACCACCTTCGCGCTCGCCGTGCTCGTCGTCGCCGGCCTCGTCTTCTACGGCGCCACCGTCGCCTACGCGCTCACGCACTACCTGCCCTGATCATCAATCACTCCACTCATCAGTTAAATTAATTAGTTACTCCTCCTTCCTCTTCTGCTGCTTAATTATTTTCAGTTTTGATTTTTGCATGAAATGTACAGATGTCTTTGATTTCTTGGTCAGATGATGATACGAATGAGAGAGACTTCATCATATTAAGCGTCGATATGATTGGATTCTTGTTGTTTTCGTTTGTGAAAAGTGGTGCGAAAGAGTAGGTTTGAAGAAATTGGTAGCTTGCAGATTCAGGGATTCATTCATTGGGATCGATTTTGTCAGTTTCAGTCATGTGCACGTATTGACCGATTCCATTCCAATGGGTGGAGTAGTTGAGAAATTGCATCTGAATGTACCATCCAAAAAGCATCTCAATCATACAAAGCAGAGTACATAATACACGGAGCACTACAGCAGAGCAGTCACCCCTATTTCAACTGCCACGCTGTAATTTTGCTATACAAACTATCGAACTTTTGCGAAAAAAATGAAAATTTTCAAATATAACATTATTTAATTTCTAATAAATGTATGGCTAGGGGTCAAACGTTGGTGACTTGGTGGGCTGCATGGAGATAGATTAGGCCCTAAATGTTTATGTAAACAATAATCTAATTTAATAGACTAGTACTATATTTGTGTATTTGTGTTAACGCCACCATGGTACCTTACTTGATAATACAAACCAAACAACCGAGAGATGATGGCTTTGTTTGGCAAATAGGAAAGGGAAATAATCCCAACCTCCAAAGGGCAATATTACATCCTAGGCATCTATTCTTCGCACCTTATTTAATCCTAGTCATTCATCCATTTCTCTTTTCCAATTCCACTTCCCATATCTCATTTGCCAAACACACCCGATATGTTTCACACATACATTGGACTAGTAGTAAAACTCTAGAAAAGAACGAAACCGAAGAGCCATATTCATAGATTTAGGGCATGCACAATGTGCCTCCGTGGTATTCAGACTGAGAGTAAGGAACCGCATATTCGGTGCCACATCCTCCACAGGCGAAGCCTCGTGAAGACAGCGTAGCTAAAATTGGTCACTTGTTCTTAGTCTGAAAGCACAGGAGCAGTAGCTTTGGTGCTGGGAAGAGGAGAGAGTGTGTGGAAGCTATGGAGGGGATGAAAAGTAAGGGGACGACATCGATGGACCCACTATAAAATAAAATGCATCGTGGAGCAATGTTTCTACTATAGTTCTTAGGTGTTCTTAGACTTACTTCCTTCGTCTCGAAAAAAGACGATTTCTAGTTAGGGGAGTTTGTCCCATATAAAACCGACTTCTTTGAAGTACTACTTGCGCAGAATTAGCTTGCAGAGAATCAACAGTAGTACTTGATGAGGATATTTGGGTAGTTTTATGGCTCTGCTAATTTTAGTTCGGATTTCTAGAATTCGACTTTTAGTGGGACGGGCGGAGTAGGTGGCAGGCGAGGCACAACAAATTTTCGTGCCACAAAATTTTGCCAACAGGACAAAAGAAACCGAAGAAATAGTAGTGGTAAGTACATACTAGTGGGTCCCACCTGTAAGTGAGACGGATACGCTGACCCTGGTCAACAGTCGACCAGAGTTCAGTTCACCGCTGACTGACATAAATAAATGCGGGACTAGAAGGCGCCGTCGACGCCAAAAATGGAGCCCAATCCCCCGCCGCCGCCCGCCGCCGCCACCGCAACCTACCGCCGCCGCGGCAAGCCCAAGCCCAAACCCAAGCGCAAGGCAGCCAAGCCCCCCTCGCCGTCCCCGCCGCCCAAGCGCCAGGCCCGGGACGACCCCCCGCACACGGGGCCACTCACCCGCCACTCGCCGCTCAACCCTGCGCCGGAGGATGCACCGCCCCAGCTCCACGCCGGGGAGCGCGACCCGCCTCCGCGCGCCTGGATAGAGCCCGCAAAGCTTCCGCCGGTGAGCGAGGAAGTCCAGGCCGTCCTGTCGCGCGGAGCCGGCGTCCACGTCGTCCCCTCCTTCGCAGGTAAGCCCCCGACTCCGGAATGAACTAAAATTTAGGGCTATTTTTTTTCTTACAAAGCCTTCATGTTTGTTAAACAATGACTTCATTCATGGGTGTAATTGTTATACTGTCTGGTTGTGAGTTTTATCCAGATATGTAATGCCAAGTTTTATCGATTCTACTTGTATAAACACGGTGAGGAACAAGTTACAAGTGTACGATTGTATCTTGATTAAGCGGCGGCGTCCCTTCGATTGCTCAAACTATTACATTTTCTGCTCTACTCGATTGCAATCTAGCTTTAACAGTGGGATTACTGTTTGTGCATAAATGTGGCTCAACACTTGGGAACATGGGACTGGACACTAGATGCAGAATATCTTCACATGAAAAGATTTATCTTGGTTCTTCACATGAAAAATATTTGCTTCTTTCACCAACTGTGAGTTGTTTTGACCACGAACTCATTAGTTAAGAAAAATTCACAAAACACGAATCGAGTACCATACATTCATAACATATAGTGTAAAATGGCAGGCCACTTCACTGGTTGGATCGGAGAAAACCAGGACTAGTGGCTTCGATGATCTGCCAGAATAAATGACTGGAAGGTAGAAAGACCGCTGGCTCTAGCATATATACATGGGGCAAAGAATGGCCCAACCCACTCATTGGATGACCCATGGTGAATTTTAGGCACAGTTTCATGGAAAGGAGTTTAAGGAGGGAGTAGGGATGTAGCTTACAGAGGCTGTCCCCACCGATCCTCCCACAAGTGATATTGTTCTGTAACATGGTGAATATATAACCTATACAAATTTAAACTATGGTCCATATTTATCTTTTATAAAATTGAATATCATGTACCTCCGTCATTCTTGTAAGAAACTTTTGTTTTGTTTTTGTTTTTTTTTTGGCATAACAACAGATTCAAAGAGAAAGGCCAATAACATTATTTTAAGCTAGTCTTTTTCCTGATAAAGTTGATTAGTAGTAACTTGATAAAACTACAACTGCAGCCACACATACCTCTACATTGATTTAGCTATTGATATAACATTAAAAATAAAATGCTGCAACCATTCAAAATAATGTTGATCGTTCCCTAAAGAGGGGGTTTCTGTTTTTTGTGATTATGGAAAAACCATGTATGTCACTATAACAGATCAAGCACCAATACCGGCTGTATAACACAATAACTTTCATTTAACAGTGCCATATTTATTTCATCATAATGGGTATGTCTGACCTACAAAGGAGAACAATTCAGCTGTAAAGCATTACAAATTTACAATTGACTTTTCCTTTTATTAACTGTGCTTGTAAGTTATTCTGAATTCTGATTAATCATTTTGTAAGTTGATTATTCTTCATTATGTGCTATCTATACTTCTGTTTGTTTATGTGTTTGTGTTATCCTTCAATTTAGCACTCTCAAACTGTATGAATTGTCTTTTTTTGTTTCACTCCCTATAGGATGGTTTTCATGGAAGGAAATCCACCAAATTGAAAAGCAAGCATTGCCTTCGTTTTTTGATGGGATATCTTTACGGAGGACACCTGAGATATATTTGGGAATTAGAAATTTTATTATGAAGAAATTTCATTCTAATCCTCAAATGCATTTGGAGTTGAAGGATTTGTCTGAGTTGTCAGATGGGGAGATGGATGCTCAGTTGAAAGTCTTGGAGTTCTTGTCACACTGGGGTTTGATCAATTTCCACCCTTTTCCACCAGCTGTACAGGGGGTGAGTGAGCTGGTTGAGAGCATAACAAATGCTGATACAGAAGAGAAAATTTCTGTAGTGGATAAATTATTTCAGTTTGAAACATTGCAGTCATATCTCATTCCTGCTCCTAACCAAGCAGAGGTGACAGCTCCGATTCACACCCCGAGCTTGCTTTCTGAGCCTACTCTAACTGAAGATTCGATTACCCAAGCTGAGTCTTCTGTTGAGTACCACTGCAACTCTTGCTCAGTTGATTGCTCAAGGAAGCGCTACCATTGCAGAACTCAGGTTAGTTCATTATGATGAAAAGTTCATTATATCTCATCGCTTGAACAAAAAGAATTACCTCGCTTCATTAATCGTTCTGCTCTATTATTTTGAGTTTTTGACCATGGATGTTTCATAATCTCATAGTCAAGTAACTGAGATGTGGGTTGTTCATAGCGTTCTTTTTTAATATTGGGTGTTATTTTCAAGAAGATAGGTACTCATAAACCCCTGATAAATGTTGTGTGTGGTTGCCTATGCATCTCTCTGTTATGCTCTTATGTAGCAATCGAACTGGTTGATTTAGCAGACTTAAGTATCTTTTGTAGAATAGGTCTATAGAGCTGCAGTAGAATAACTTCTGTGAACCTGTGTAGGTTCTTATCATCTTTAGCTGTTTTTTACTAACATGAATAATGGATTACAGAGCATCCTGTTACACCTTATCCTTGTGCATAGACAGTAAATTGGAGCATTGTACAAAAAAAGAAGAATAAATCCATTTACAACACTCTACTATTTGTCTATTACCTGACTCTAGAAAATAACCATCAACTGCAAATCCATTTGATTCACATCCCTTGGCCTGATCCCACCCGGTTTCTTGCTTAGGTAGCTTCATGGTAAGGTCAATATGGAGCTGATGGTAGAAGGGAAGGGACTGCTAGGTGGCAGCTATGCTTCCCTTCTTGCCCTTGCATTTCCACTATCTGGGTTGCTATCTCAAGCCTGGTAGATAGGTGGTTAAACCATAGAAGGTGGCATCAAGGACTAGAGGGGCTTGATGGGATGGGTTTAATTGTAAATTTACATATTTGTTGCGAATAGATACTTGTACAATTTAATCAAGTACCATATTTACGCAATTCTTGCTGGGCAGTGGTGCTTGCATTAATCCCATACAAAAAAATTTTCTGGCTAATTGCCTCGATTATCATTCCCTGTATCTGCTATTGTCATGTGCAGCCCATTAGGGCCCATATAGAAGCAGCACCCCTACCATTGTAGGGCTGATGATACTTCTATGGTTTTTTTTTTCTTCTTCTTTTTACCTAACAAAAGTACTGAAGTATAGTTCTGAGGTCTGATGAGTTATTTAGCTGAATGCTGATTGTTTTCTCTTAAACCTTTCCAGGCAGACTTTGACTTGTGTTGTGACTGTTATGACAAAGGAAATTTGGATGCAGGCATGTCACAAACTGATTTCATCATTATGGAATCTGCAGAAATTCCAGGCTTTGGTGGTACTAGCTGGACTGACCAGGAGACCTTGCTTCTTTTGGAAGCTTTAGAAATTTTCCAAGCAAAATGGGGTGACATTGCCGAGCATGTTGCTACAAAAAGCAAAGCACAATGCATGCTACACTTCCTTAAAATGCCAATTATGGACCCATTTCTGCATGATGGAGATGTTAATGAAATATCTCAGGAAACTGCAGAGCAGGTCTCAGCAGAACAAGGTACTTCTCGTGTAACTGAGAAAATGGAAGTAGAAGACAAAACAAAAGAAATAAAAACTAATGATAGAAAAACTGCTGCAAAACCAAAATTGAACTTGACAGAAACAGAAGTAAACCTAGACGACAATGTTGTTGCAAATAATGATACCAAGAGTTCAGGTGATATCAATGTGGATGTATGTAGCAATACTGGTGTATCAAATAGATCTTCAGATACCGAACCTACAAAGAAGGAAACTTCTGGGGAAAACACATCAAACATTGTTAATGATGTCCTGAAATATGCTTTTGAGGCTGTTGGTCACATTCCAAAGATAGAGGGCTTGGGTTCATTTACTGAAGCAGGAAATCCTGTCATGGCACTGGTAAATACATTCTTCTGGCTTTTATCAATTTTCACTTATGAAGTTCAATGCAGGAATGCCCTTTGATGTTTTTTTAAAAAATAAGTGCAGGTGGCATTTCTATCTGGCCTTGTGGATCATGACGATGTTACTACGTTGTGCTGTAGTTCACTGAAAGCTATATCTGATATGTCTCCTGCTCTTCAACTGGCAACAATGCATTGTTTTATTCTTCAGGATCCACCAAATGACCTCAAAGATCCACCGGTCAGTATAAGGTAATGTTGATCATACCATGAGTCTTGCTTAGAATAGAGTTGCTATTGCAAATCTCACTGATTGGGAAATTGGAACTTGTAGCTTTGCAAACACAGATTGTGGGCAACAAAAAGACAAGGATGCTACTTCAAATCCAAGTGTTACTGACAATGATGACAATTTAAAAGAAGAGTCTGCTTTATCTGTGGAAGAGCCAAATACCACATCCACATCATCGAAAAACACCAGGAAATTATCTAATGCGAAGGAATCTAAGGATGAATCTCCCCAAGTGGAGCCCAAACCCAGTAGTGCCAACGATTGTGACAATCCAATTTCTCAGGTGGCAAAGAGGGCTTCTGATAATATAAGAGGACACAGTTCCACTGTGCTTCCTGTCAGTCTGAATAATACAAATGAACCTTGTTCCATATCTTCCCAAGAGGCTAGTGCAGGAAACACAAAGGATACAAGTCATACAGAACACATAGAAGGAGATAAACCAATTTATGAGGATCCACCATTAGAAGGAAAGGTAGAGTTGAACAAGATCGAACATGAAGTCACTGACTTATCTGCTGTACAGCAACATGAGTCCATCCAAACAAGTTTGAAGAAGGGCTACATACAAGGTAACTTGTTTAGCTTCTGTCTTCAATGTTTTGTAAAGACCCATCAAGGATTAGCCTTGGCTTCCAGGCATGGTTACAAATCTATCCATATAGAAATATACTAATTGGCATTCCAAGGAAATTCTCGTATTAATCAGATAAACAGTGAATTAAGTCTGTCGATCCATCTAGGTGGACCGAATTGTAACGCCTTAGATTAAATACAACATACCAATTATTGATTTCGAAATCTGGAATTAAATTAACAAGATACTAAATTGAGAGTCCAAGACGGATACAGCTTCAAATTTATTAATGCTGGATTTTAAAATTGTTTAAAGAAAAATCCAAGCTGCATGGGTTATCGACTATTTACTGTTATTTTTTTTGTTCAAATATCACCAGATTTCCTGGACTCAACCAGGACTAGGAAAGACTATCTGATATTAGTTAATGTGATACACTATTTTGAGTGATGTTGGACACTGGTGATCATCCACGGTGGAGGATACAAATAACATGGACTTCATAAAATTAAAAAGCATCCAAAACATCTTGTTCTTTTTGTTCCTGATTCCGGTGTAGCATACTTATCAGATTTTTTGCATGTTCACAATTTCTCAATTATTAAAAAGTTTGGCATGTAAGAAATACTGCTGAGCCTTCTGCTTCTTTATTATGTCTGCCTTGTCTGGATGTGTAGTTTCCTTTGATTTTTGTTTTCATGTGCCATGGAGATAACTTCCCATATTTGTCGCTTTACAGATCATAACAGTATTAAGAAAACAGTTGCCGATGATGTCTCCGTACAAAGGCTACAGCGGGCAGCAGCCAGTGCTATTTCAGCAGCTGCTGTGAAGTCGAAACTCCTTGCAAAGCATGAGGAATATCAAATCCAGCGACTAGCTGCACTTGTGATTGATAAACAGGTATTTTATAACCAATGACTACAGTAATGCTTCAATACATACAAGTAGCATATACTTCCTGTGAGATGCATGTATATATGACCATAAAGTATGCATTACCTCTGTTTTTTCCCTCATCTAATGAAGATCACATTCCGTGCAGCTCCACAAGATGCAAGCGAAAATGTCAGTTTTCACTGAAGCAGATAATTTGGTCCTGCGAGCGAGAGAACACACCGAGAGAACTCGGAAGAAGCTTCTGATGGAGAGGAGCGCGATAATCGCTTCTCGGATGGCGGCATTGCCACCCAGACCAAACCACCAACCTGGGATGCCTGGGAGCAGATTGCCGGTAGGGTATGGTGTGAATCAGCATCTGAGGCGATCTTGAGGCCTACTTCGCACGTGCTGATGACCTAATGTCCACCTTCCAAGAAGGATAGATATAGACTGTAGGGCTGGCTTTTGTAGTTGTGCTAATCCAGTAATCCACCATGACCATGTGCAATATCCCATGTTAGTATGTTACAGGCTTAATATTTTGAAGCGTAATATTATTGCCTCACCTAGCTTTTAGTTACCCCCTGGTAGTGTAGAACTGCTGTCACCTGGAATGTAGTATGTATTATAATGGTTTCAAGATCTAGGTTTTGGTGCTCCTGTCACCTTGTGCTTCTCATCTGCAATATCTACTAATACTACTTCCTCCGTTTCACAATATAAGTCATTCTAACATTTCTCACATTCATATTAATATTAATGAATCTAGACATATATATATTTATCTAGATTAATTAATATCAATGTGAATGTGAGAAATGCTAGAATGACTTGCGCTGTGAAACGGAGGAATTACATTACTACCATGTTAAATGAGGGACACCTTCGACACTTTGTTTTCTTTTTTCCTCCACACTAATCTGAATCCTCGTGGCTAAAAACAAGTTATTTTTGGACAGAGGAGGTATTTGTGCTGTTAAAGAACTGATGGATGGTGGATCACTGAGGGTATGAATTGCTGTCTTTTTTTGCAGAACTATTTTTTTCACAGTGGTTCTGGTTAGATTAGGTAAAAGTGAGTACTGCTCTAGAACCACGATTAGCTAGTTAATAATGTGGCGAAGAAGGCAGGAATGCAATTAAAATCGTGGGTAGTCGCATCTAACAACGATTGATGTTGCACCACATGTGCATGGCAACATGTTTATCACGTTGGAATGATGGTGACGTGACCTTGGCACCCCAAAGTATCCAAACCAACCAATTTCATTTGCTTTTCTTGCTCACTAAACTCAAATGCATTTATTGTCCTACAAGTACAAGTAAATTACGTACAACAAAAAACAAAGTTTGAGAAATTTCACACGAATGCAGCGCAGACTTGAATTTCCCCCCAATTCTAGAATTCAGAAATTTTGAAACCTGCTCTCCCATGAAAACTATCATGTACATCAAACTGCTTATCGAAATATAATTGGCAGCTCTCCTGTTGATTTTAATTTTTATCTCAATAAAAGTATGTACATTAAACCGACACTTTCTTTTTTTTTTATAAATTTCAGATAAATACGGGGCAAACTAAAATTTCCTTGAAATTTCAAAAGAAAAAAAGAAGTCTACAATTCTGAAATTTTGAACCCCTCCCTGGTCCGAAACTCTGAACTTGAAGCCAAGCAAGGCAATCACCTAAGACTCGTTGTGTAGCTGCTCACTTTTTTTTATATATAAATTTCAGATATAAACACGGGACAAACATAAATTTCCTTGAAATTTCAGAAAAAAAAAGAGTCTAGAATTCTGATATTTTGAACCCTGGTCTGATGAAACTCTGAACTTGAAGCCAAGCAAAGCAAATGAGCAGTGACAGGTCCAAGTCAACCAACCACCATAAAACTAAAAAAACGGCCTCTCTTCTCTTCTCCTCGCGCCGCCGCAGCCGCAGCCGCAGTGAATGGTCACGACGAGATGAAGCCCATGGCGCGGCAGCCGCTGCGGCTGCTGCTCGCCGCCGTCGCCGCCGTGGCGATGCTCTCCTTCCTCCTCCTGCTCGCGCCGCCGCCGGACGCGCTCCTCTCCGCCTTCCTCTCCCCTTCCTCCCCCTACGCCCACCGCCCCAAGCTCCTCTTCCTCCTCGCCGGCCAGTCCAACATGGCCGGCCGCGGCGCCCTCGCCCGCCCGCTCCCGCCTCCCTACCTCCCCCACCCGCGCCTCCTCCGCCTCGCCGCCTCCCGCCGCTGGGTCCCCGCCGCGCCGCCCCTCCACGCCGACATCGACACCCACAAGACCTGCGGCCTCGGCCCCGCCATGCCCTTCGCGCACCGCCTCCTCCTCCAGACCGATTCCGAGGAGGTGCTCGGCCTCGTCCCCTGCGCGGTGGGCGGGACCAGGATCTGGATGTGGGCCAGGGGCCAGCCGCTGTACGAGGCCGCCGTCGCCAGGGCGCGCGCCGCCGTGGCCGACGGCGGCGGCGCGATCGGCGCCGTGCTGTGGTTCCAGGGGGAGAGCGACACCATCGAGCTCGACGACGCGCGGTCCTATGGCGGCAAGATGGAGCGCCTCGTCGCCGATCTCAGGGCCGATCTCCACTTGCCCAATCTGCTCGTCATCCAGGTCAATCTCTTCTCTTCTCTTCTTCTTGTTTTTTTTTTCCATTCAATCAGCCACCACCTTGTGAATTGTGATTGGTTGGTTCATTGGCGCTTGCTTGAATTTTGGTCTAATTGAGCTTCAAGCTAACTCCTTTGTTATTATTATTATGGCTAACCTCACTACGGCACTACTCGATGGAGTATTTTGGGGAAGTAGGAGAAATGTTCAGCTTGCAAGTCGGTCCTCTCGTAGTATTTTGCACTACGTCTTGATTAACGTTCACGCCTGAAACAAACGCCACTTGGCACAAGTAGTAAATTACACCTTGCCGCTCTATAGAGGAAACTAATCTACATGACAGTATAGGAGTAGATGTTAAGAGATGTGTGACCCAAGATTCTGATAAGTTTTCCATGAAATGCCCGTCGTGTTGACAATCAGTCCTCTAACATTGGTCGTTCATAGCTGCTCTACTACCTGCTATATGATATGGAACATCTTGCTGACAATCAATCTTTCCAACATTGGTCATTCATAGCTTCCTCTAGTTGTTATATGGTATGGAAATAAAATTCAGAGGCATGAAGTTTGCAGTACAGCATACCTTCAATGTTTGTGTCAATTAACTCGTGGATGATCATTAACTAGAGACAGAAAGCTGAGGTTAAACACAACTGAAGTCTAGTGATAACTTCCTCATGAGGATGTAATGAGTAATGACTCGATCACCGTAACAATATTGTGGTAACATTAACATCAGCATGTAGTGGGGTAATCTACTAATCAGGAGGAATGATGAGGCACAGATCCCCTGGTGTTAGGGATTATTCATCCTTTGATGTTTGATATGGACCATTCCTGTCCAATGAATGGTTACAGTTGTACTAGGATTTTGGACCAGTATGACATGTATCTCGTAGCCCTCCAGCAGTACTCCAGTAGTCCACTCTAACATTCATGCAAGGAAGAACAGTCATAACTTCAAACGTGCACCCGAACTGTTTTTTTTGAATTTGTGCCCTCTAAGCAGCATACCACCTAGTACCATTATACCAACCAGTCTTTTATATCAGTATCATTTTCTTGCCTTTGACTCCATGTGGATATCATCAGTTGGATGACTGCTAACCAATTCAGCGTGGTTCTGATCAGTACTACTAGAAAGTACAGTATCTTATTATCTCCCTAATCCAATTGCCTCACATCTTCACAGTATTTCTTTTGCAGAGATATCTTAACAGTACTATTGTTATTACATGGTCTACTTATGTAGTTTGTGAATCTTGTGTGTCGGTAGAGTCTGGATCATTGTTCGGTAGATTACCATGATTCAATATTGAAGAACTTGGCGAATATGATAACAGAAAATAGAGAATTATTACATAGTTCCATTTGAGTTGCTGTTGTCTTTCTAGGACTAGAGATATATGAATATATGATAGAGGTCCATGTAATCGTAGGGAAGTGATTTTTGTACCAGTAAAGTTTTAGGGAAGTCATTGATGCAAATTCTGGACCTGCTGCATTTAGTCTTGACAAAAACCCAGCTATCTCCGATTCGCAGTTTTACACATCTGTACTCTCGAGCACAAAATTTTTTAGAGAAAGAATAGTTTAAAAAAGATATGGTTTGATCTTTTCATATGTCTATCTTGTACGGCAAATAAGAAATTTATATAATGGTTTCATGCTTTCAGGTTGGTCTTGCATCAGGAGAAGGAAATTACACTGACATTGTCAGGGAAGCTCAGAAAAATATCAATATTCCTAACGTCCTTCTTGTCGATGCTATGGGCTTACCACTGAGAGATGATCAATTACACCTCTCTACAGAAGCTCAACTCCAGCTTGGTAACATGTTGGCCGAAGCCTATTTAAAATTTAACTCATCTAGAGGTTCCATGCTATAGCATCACTAACACTGTTGGATTTCGTAGCTGCAGAGTGAAAGGCAAATACCATCATTCTTTCAAATATTTCGTTGTAGTGTGTAGATCATTGTACAATAATGAACGATTTTAACTCACATGTTGTACATTATAGAGGAAAAGATTGTTCCAGTTGAATGAAGTACAGCCGAGTAGCATTTGAAATGGGATCTTTGGTACAATTCCCAACAAATTCAATCTCGACTTACCCATGAATTATTGATTATATGCTATTTTCTGTTACCACACTCAGCTACGAATTCATGCCGTTTTGGGTTTAAAAGTTGGTCAAATATTTTTTAAAAAAATTTGAGTTTCAATATCATATCGTATATACATATATCATCCTTGCAAAATTTCAAGAACTATTTATCACCATTACTTGGATATGATATCATTGAACTCATCATGACCATACTCTATATACTATATCAAATAATATTTCTATAGTTTAGTGATAACATGTTTATAAAATAATAATCTCAGGCAGGTCGAAAGATTGTAACAATATCTTAAGCATCACTACATTTCTATAGAAAAGGGAGTAAGAATACATGGCCAGCTCAGCATTGGGCAAGTTTTCTGCCATCGATCCTCAGCCAGCGATGAGAATAAACTACCTGTCGAAGCTGACAGAACACATCATCTGGCACCTCAAGGATGAGCAATGCCACCAGGCAGATCATAGTTGTTGGAAAAACTATATGTGAAATGCTTAAGACTGTTTATTCACTTAATTAAAGAATAGTGACATCTGATGGAAGACAACGGGCGTGCCGCAATCTTAACAGAAAATACTCAGTAAAATAACTTGACAAAAAGAACTGCAGTGGAATCACCTTTACAACGTACTGACACGTAAAATGTACATGTACTATGATTTGAGACAGGCAATGGCATAAAGAGGTTGAGTAATAACAACACCAAACAGTTGCAAGTCCGTTACAACCGAAATCCAGAATCCATTCAATTCAGCAATCAGAAGTAAGAACCATATTTTGGCCTATCCTTTAGTACTGAACACGTATTTGACCCAAACAAGGATGGAAAGAGTGACAGAGTGGCACGGTTCCAATTTTAGGAATTTATAGTGGCACCAATAGATAACGTCAATAGTAGTGGCATATTTTTTGATTTGCCACATTTGCAGTGGCATGGATCAAATTAACCCTTGAAAACAAAACAAATAAAGAATGTGCTTGTGCCCATGCCATCAACACTCTGACAAACATTAAGGCACGGAAAGCACATAAAAGGGTAAATAATACACTAAAAAAATCTGAAAGAGGTTCCTGAGTGCAATGCTCAGTATGCCTTCACGGGAAAAGGTTGAATGCATGTGTAAACTAGCTTCAACATTCTTTCGTCGCTTCAAATTGACGAAGTTAAAAGAAATTTCATCAGCTGTTGAGCAGAGATTATTATTCCATGTATCAGCTGTCCAGTCAAAGCCATGCCCTATAAAAGGGTGTCATGTATCCATTACTAGCAATCAAGCGATGAAGATGTATTAATCTATTCCATCTCCCTCAAAGGTCTTTATCCGACTAGATTGTCTCCTCTTATGCCAATCAAGCTGACACCACCCTCTAGGCCGTGTAAACTCTGAACCCTAGCTCATAAAATCAGCATATTGAAGTTTATATTGGATTCAGAGCAAAATTGTCAGTTCTTCGCATTTTAACTGACTAATTAGCTAATCTTCTCTTCGGTTCTCCACATGCCGACGTGCAAAGCAAGGAGCGTTCTCGTGAAGGCTCAGAGGAAATTGCACCTGTGCTGAAATCCTGGCAGCACAAGAAGCTCAACAGAAGGCTGTGTGTCTCAACCTACATTTGTTTGAGCTTCAACATCTTGCAGTACACTGCAAATCTCAGCATACTGAGGATGCTGACTGCCACCAGCAACAAACTCATGCACCTCGCCTTTGAGCTCGATCGAGCTGCACCCAGGAGTCTTCTTCACCTGCATGCTGTTCATCTCCCTCCTCTCCCGGGCAAGACCAATCCAATCCTGTGCTTTCGCGTACATGCTGGACAGCATCACTCTCCCCCAAGGGTCATCTGGATCCAACCTGGTGAGCTCTTCTGCCGCAATCTTGCCGAGTTCCATATTGCCATGAACTTTGCACGCGCTCAAGAATGCACCCCAAATAACCGTGTTGGGATCCATTGGCATTGTTCTTATCATGCTATATGCTTCCTGCAGTCGCCCAACGCGGCCAAGAAGATCAATCATGCAACCATAGTGTTCAATCTTGGGTGTGATTCTAAATTTTGCCTCCATGGAGTAGAAGTAGCCAAGACCTTCGTCTACCAAACCTCCATGTGCACAAGCATTTAGGACCCCAACAAGCGTGACATCATCCGGGCATATGCCATTATCCTGCATCATGTCAAACATTCTCAAAGCATCAGTGGCGCGGCCGTGCATTGCCAGCCCACAGATCACGGTTGTCCATGAGAACAGGTCCCTCTTCCTAGGTGCCTTCTCAAACACCTGTAGGGCATTATCGATGCTTCCGCATTTGCAGTACATGTCTATCAGGCACCGATCCAGATAGCCATCATCATTCATCCTGTTCCTCTCAATATATGCATGGACCCAAATCCCGGTCTCCAAACAACCCGCGCCGGCACAAGCACCGAGGATAGTGCTCATCGTAGGCACATTAGGATGCACCGCACACGATGACGGCGACACCATCTGACGGAACAAGCCAAGTGCCTCCCTGCACCGGCCAGCAACACAGTACCCGGCCATCACTGTGTTCCAGGACACAACATCTCTCCTCGGCATTGCGAGGAACAGCTCATAAGCCGTGTCAACTTTCCCGTGCCTGGCATACTGATGCAACATGGCGTTCCATGTAATGGTACTCCTCGACGGCATGTCATCGAACACCCTCCTAGAAACCGCCAGCTTGCCACACTCACCGTAGACCCTTATCAGCTCGGTGGAGACAAACACATCTGGCTCAATGCCGCTGGTCACGATGAGAGCATGGATCTTCTTGCCTGGATTCCTCCTAGCCGTCCAAGAGCCAGCGCCATGGCATGCCCCAAGCGCGACTGCCAGGGCGACATTGTCCGGGAAGACACCATCCGCCACCATGTCCCCGAATACGGCGATCGCTTGAGCCGCCTGCCCAGACGCGACGTGCGCCCGGGCCATGGCGGTTCGCGGGACAAGGCCTTGCTCGGGCATTTCGTCGAACAGCCTGCGCGCGTGATCCGGGCTGCCGAGGGCGGCATACGCGGAGAGGAGCGCCGTCGGGAGGTGCGCGCCGACGTGGAGGAGGCCGGCCTTGAGGAGGAGGCAGTGGATAGAGGACGCCGACAGGTGGGCCCTACGCACCGCCGGCGAGAGCGACTTGATGAGGCGGAGGAGGGCGGTGGAGGAGAGGGTGAGTGGGTGCATGGGCGACGCATCAACACAGCCGAGATGCAATCTCCATGAAATTGGCGAGTCTGAGCCTTCTCCGTGTTCCTCCCTTCTCCCCGCGGGTGAGAGCTGAGAGGTGCTGTGCGGTGGTGGAGGTGCGGCCGGCCGGCCGGAGGCGGCGGCGGCGGCGCGGCGGCGCGGCGACGCCGACGAAGAAGTCGTGCGTGTGGGTGTTTTGGGCCTTTGGCCCACTTGTCTTTCTTCTTTCCTGTATGTTTTCTCCTCATTTTTTTTCTACTAGTAGCAACTCCTCATTCTCGTGACGCTGTAATTATTTTTTTATTACACGGTAGATATATGAGCATACACAACATTATACAGGTAAAACAACACTCACTACACTAAAAATGCGCCTTCTAACCTACTCTATAAGAGATCGAAAACAGCGACACATTCCTGATTTTACTAAAATCAGTCTAACTGCATAGGTGTGATATTCGTGGGCACCAGAATTTAAACTTTGGTGAGGAGAGTCCAGGGTGTGAAAAACCGCCGGTAACCGCGCGGTTACCGCGGTTACCGCCCGTACCGCGGGGGTACGGTTACCCGTACCGCGCGGTACGGTTTAATAAAATTCGTCCAAATTCAAAAATTTAAAAAAAAAAGAAAAAAATCAAAAAAAATAGTGAAGGTAGTGCTTGATTTATAGTGTTTTATGGTGAAGAAATTTCTCAAAAAAGAGTAATATTTATTCAAATTTGAGAGCAAAACGGAGAATAAATTTGAAAATTGGAAAAAGAAAAAAAAATGGGCCGGCCCGTTACTGTGCAACCCATTACACATCGCGCGGTAACCGCGCCAAACCGCGTGGTTACCGCGTCAAACCGCGCGGTAACCGCGCCAAACCGCGCGGTTTGCCCGAATTTTTGAATTCAAATTTCGATTTGTAAATTTGTCGCGGTTTTGTGCGGTTACCGCCGGTAACCGCCGTACCGCCGGGTGGCGGTAACCGGGCCCCCGGCGGTTTGTGAAACCCTGGGAGAGTCATGCTTTCCATGTAAAGCTATAATTATTAGTACATTTCATCAAATAGTGTTTCAATCAAACTATGATGGTTATTTTGTTTCCGAACCACTCATTTTTGCTAGTAGTTGACATCAAGATTATTTTTCTTTTTGGAGGACGGTAAGATTTTGATATTCCCGAGAATTTTGCAGAAATTTCACCATATATTCTTTAATTTCCAACCGTTTCATACTCTCAACATCTATCCATTTTCATGTCATTTCACAAGTCTTAAGAACCCTAGATGTACCTAGGTGTGAATCTGATTGTGAGCACCATGCTTCTGCACGCACTTGCAAACGCAAACAGTAATAATGACAAGGTACTCCACATATAATTCAGGGAATAAAACAGCAAAAGGAAGGTTTCGAATGAAATGAATGTGCATTACAGCATACAATTTTCTGTTCAATACAACAATACTGAAACAGGATTACAAAGACTTCACGGAGGTACATTTGATTCACAAAGCAATAAAATCCCCAACATTAGAGTCTAGTTCATCGTCCAATTACTAAAGAACTAATTCAATTATTCCCAAAGAACCAGATGGCAGGCTGGTGCATTGAGGAACCATTTTATTCAAGCTTCGGACAAAAATAAATAGCAAACTTCAACAGAACGCGCTGGTAAAGCACTGAGGGGCAAACATTTAACAGCAGCTGAAGCACTGGGGAATCGAAACCCCAAAGGGAACAAATCCTGGCCGCTCAGGTACTAATCACCAACAACAGATCCAGGAAACTTCAAGCTACATACCAAAGGCTCTCAAGCAAACTATAACACACCGGGATGAACTGATGCCTCTTTCTGAGTTTTGCACCTGCACATGATATCCTCAGTTACAATGAAAGGAAAAAAAAAAACAAATAGGAAACAGTAAGCAATGAGAATGAACCAACATACTCAAGCCTTATTATGTATGGAGTTTTTGTTGATATTATGTATGAAACACATATCACGCTATAGGAGTCACCACAAGAATGCACAACATATGAAATGTTAGAAGAAAATTTATATGTGAGAACATGGTGCTTATTGGTGGGTTTCTCAGAATTATCAAGGAATATAACAATTTAAGCACAGAATTGGGGCATGGAAAATATGCACTCCTTCACAATATAATTTCAGAAAATTATTCAAGAAGCACAGACCAGCACAATAATTCAAAATACTAAGGCATCAAGAACAGGACAGGAATAACATATGTTCAAGGAAAAAACATGACACAATTTTCATTCAATTATCAAAGACACAGAGCAAAATTTTCCATTTTAAGGACTTGAAATGACCTGGCCTCTATACACATCATGCAGTCATCATTAAAACTGCCCAGGATCAAGTTCAGCTAGGCACAATTGGTTCGACCATGACTAGAGTGAATTTAAACATCAATTTCATACAAGCAAAATATGAATTCTGCATACAACATTCGCAACAAAAGAGGTGTGAGGGTGATTTATAGCCAAATTATTGACCAGTTTAGTTCAAAAGATTCATGCTTCACAAACCAAACTAGAGCTGAATACCAATAAAGTTGAACAGAAGTACCAAAATAGGCAAAAGAATAATACCTGTTGCAAAAGGCTCGAGATGCATAGTTGTGATTGTTGCAGTTGCTGCACATCCAGTCTCCTTCGCGCCATTTTGCTCTAATAAGATGCAAGAACATGCATAATCCATTAGCTATGCAACCTCTTGTGTAGATGGAAGTAGATTATTTAAGTGAATCATGAATTATATTAGCAATACATATATGTGTAAAGCAGAAATTCTAAGAATCTAACGTAACAGTAATAACTACAATTAAGTCACAGGACTTCAAGAGTCAAGAGTCTATCCAGTAATTCCACACATTCTGTTATATTGTTTTACCAACAAAAATGACCATGCAAATGATCGCAAACAGAACTACACAATACGAAGTATATGCTAATATACCCCAGATAAACCCAACCTGTTTACAATCATCCATTGTTTCCTCAAAAAATTACCCAAGATTTGTACTAGTACAATTTCCTCCTGCACCTATCTATTATTGATCCTCTAACAACCATGGATCGTAATCACCTGTTTAATCTCTACTTCTATCCAGCATTATTCAGAATTCAGACCTCCCAATCTTATTAGCACTATTTATGATGGTAATGAACCATACATCAACTATTCCTCCATCTGTCAGTCCATCAGAGCTTGTTACGACAACTTACACAAGTCACCTCCATATCAGTGTGACACTGCTCTAATATAATAGTTAATCTCGTTTTTCTACGTTCGTCGCTGCCTTGCAAATATTGAACTGATGAAATATGTTTGTCACTAATCATAAGTTTCGGTTTTGTCACTGAGTTCTATATCTGTCATGCATCCAGTGCTCACTTTTCAAACAGATAGCCACAGGCAAAACCAAGATGAGGACACTGCTTTATGGCCAAAAAAAATGTAACTGAATGGTCCTAATGAATTGAATATTCAGCAAAGTTATCAGAAATGATTAGTCTTAAGCCATAATACATCCACGCCCCCCAAAACAGCAAGTTTATAAAACAGTACAACTAATACAATGTGTGCTGATTTGCAAATTCAGAGTATTCAATTAGGCTCATTTGGGTAGCCACAAATCCCAAACCATCCTGGCCAGGATTTGGGCCTTGCCAAAAAAGCCCTTTTAGCCATTAAAGGATGTCTCTTACCCTTTTCCAATAAGACCAGGCATTGCTGAGACCTGCCCAGAGGGTAACGCTATTGAGTTTCCATTGTCAAACTTGGAATAAGGTGTCTGGCCATTGCTGCTTCCAGCTCCTTGCTCAATACCACCAAATAAATTATCCGTGCCTGCTGTCTTCAATCAGTTTGGAAATAAATCAATACCATGTAAAACTTAGGGAACTCACCTATGATAACAAATAAAAAGGATCGTAAACACATACTGAAAGTGGATAGCTTGCATTTCCTGGATTAAGCCTTTTGTTATCCCATTCATTGGCAAGTTCCTCTGACGCCAACCGCTTAGTTCCTAATGCTGAAATAAGAAGAGATTGAAGACTCACAATTTGATTATTTGCTGGCACCAATTAATGTAACAAGAGAACTTTAATTTATGACAGATCATGAAGCACAAGTGTGACAAGAACAGGGAATAAATGTCGAAACTACAATATAAGATTCATTACAGTAGCAATATGAAAAAAATAGCAAACTGGAATGGGTCATGGTTATTATCAACTTATGTTAAATTGTTAATCATGGAGATATGACATCACAAAGAAACATCACCCCGCATTACCACAGATGAAACATCTGAAAATAGTTCTGACTTCCGAATTTGCATTTACCACTAAGAATCACTTGCCTTATTAAAGAGGCAAAGTTGAAGTGCCCTTTTGAAATAGAGAATACAGTTTTTAACCCATCAGAAGATAATTTTTTTTTATTTCACTGGCTAGGAGCATGAGGTAAAGAAAATATTTTGGAAGTAAGAAATTTGTCTTACTGGAAGAAGTATCTGGTACTGTGGTTTTCATTGTTGTGGAGGGAATGCCTGATGGTACAGGAGCACTACACTGTTTACACTGAAAAGGAGAATAAAAAAGAAGATATCCAGTCACTCTATGCACTTGATAGATAAAATATACACTGTTGAGAATCTAGAACATGAGTTCACATTATATCACGAATAAAGAGCATGGGATATGTTTCTGGTAATAGCAAGCTAGTCGATCACATTTTTAGGACTAATAAAAAGGAAACACAAGTGTAGAACCTTAGAAGGTGAGAAAAGCAACAAGGTATTACATCTTACATAAAACGCTAATGTTGACCTGAGAACAGGTGATATCATATATTAATCAAATGTCAGGACCAAAATTAAGTTAGCACCAAATAGCTGTATGCATGGTCTAGGAAATATTTTATTCAGAAAGCAGGTCACATCAACATGTTTGACATGAAAAACAAATGTGGACAACGACGCATTACGGTTCAGAAGGCAGGTCAAAACTACACAAATAATGATTATGGGTGTGAATCAAGAAATCACTTAAAGCAGAGTATATATATAATTACCTGTGTGCGAGATGAGTAGTTATGAAATCCACAGCTACAAAGCCAATCACCGCTACGCCAGTCTTTTGGAGCCGCTGAAAACTGATTTGCGTTGTTGCCGCCAAATGGCCAGCCAGCAGCTTGCATCCCATATCTACCAGCCAACGCATAAGGCCAGTTTGCACTTGCAAGTAGCTGCTGTTGCAAAGCTGAATTGCCAGCCATCCCAAAGTTCATGTTCATCTTAAAGCCAGCAAGGCCTTGCATCCTAGCAATATAATTTGCATAAGCTGGCATGGCCATTCCTGCCATTGATAATGCTGGCATTGCTGCTTCCTCCTTCGGCAGGCCACATTTTTTGCAGTTCTTTCTGGATGCATAATTATTGTTACTGCAACCTATTCATCCATTTGGCGCATAAACCAACCAGCACACCAGGGAGACAACGCACCGAAGCACACGCACACCAACCAGCCATCCCGCACAAACCCAATGAAAGGAATAAAGACACACACACTAGTCATTTACTCAGCATGCTTAATGGTAATTTTCTAATTTTATATATGGATATCAAATACACAATAAATAAATATAAATAAACAGCAGCTGAAAATAAATAAATTCCAACAAGAAAGGCAAATAATTAATAGCATGGTCCCAGACAAATGTCGTTTTTCTTGATGATAAATTGCTCTCAGTACTTGAACCACTAACAGAAATCATCCATATCAAAACTCTGTCAGAACAACTGTAAATTTTATTGCAAGATGCAGAGCTTGGTTGGAATGGCAAAAGAAAGCCAAACATTCCACATATATCCCTTTGGTTGTCTCTCTATTTCCACTGTTATTATTCATTAAAACTCCCAACTCTTTAAACTATGACAGCAACAACGCGACTAAAAATATGAGCGAGCACTGCGGTCTTCTCGGTTTCTAACAAGCCTAAAAACTAAGCATATACAGTAAAAAAGGGCATAATACTGGTGTGCAGAGGTAGCATAATAAGCTTTAGGTTGATCAAGATTTCCCCCAAAGAAGAGGATGCACGTTTGTCGCCCATCCCAATACCCCCACCCTAAACATGAAACTAAACCACAAAGCCATTATTTCCAGCATCTGGCATTGATTTCCCCCTTTCCACCACATATATTATAATTTTTCATGTAGAAACAGGCACCAGTGTAGCAGATCAAAAATTAACAAGTGCGGAATTAATTAGAGCAGGGGGGAAGGGTGGTTGGCGCGGCGGAGCAGGTGTTACCGGTGCAGATCCAGTCGCCGGCGCGGGGGAGCCACTTGGAGTCGGGAGGGGTGTTGGGGTCGACCAGGAGACGGGGCTGCTTGCACCGGTTGCACAGCGACCGGAACGCGTAGTTGCGGTTGCCGCAGCCGCCGCAGTCCCAGTCGCCCTCCCGCCCCCCTCCGCCGCCGGAGCCGCCCGTGGAGGAGCCCGCGCCGCCGCCTCCGGCCATCGCGCGCAGAGATTCCGAGGTGGGAATGAGGGATTTGGTTTGGTTTGGGGGATTTGGTTTGGGAGGAAGGGGGAGGAGGATCTACGCGAGGTGAGAAGGGTATATTCGGATTTGGGAGAAGAATGGAGACTCCGCCTCCGCTCCGGCCTGGCCTAGGGTTTAAATTCCTCCTCCTTTTCCTTTTCTTTAATTTAATCAAATTTCATATAGTGGTTTTTTTTTATGTCGTGGTTTTTGTGGTGATCTCTTTTTTTTCTGTATTTTTGGGCTTGCTGGGCTGGAACTCAGACGCGGGCTAGAATGGTTCAGGGGTGTTTGAATTGGACTAGTACATGTCATATCGGATGTTTGGATATTAATTAGAAGTATTAAATTAAATATAGATTATTGATAAAACTCATTCCATAATCCTGGATTAATTCGCGAGATGAATCTATTGAGCCTAATTAATCCATAATTAGTCTATGTGATGCTGCTGTAAACATTCTCTAATTATAGATTAATTAGGCTTAATAATTTGTCTCGCGAATTAGCTCTCATTTATGTAATTAGTTTTGTAAGTAGTCTATGTTTAATACTCCAAATTATTGTCTAAATATCCGATGTGACAATGATCCAAACAATGATCAAATTTGAAGAATTTTTTTTTTTGAAAAAACAAAACACAGTTCAAATGAAGGCGCTTACAACACACGCATACTCACCCTGTAAACACGCATGCACGTGGAAGATTGGCCTAGTATATCTTGAGATTAGCGAAGTTACCACGGGCGCCTCGCTGTTGACAGGTACGTAGCCTACCACTGAAAGAACAATTAGCGTATGTTAACGGTAAAATTTGGTAAGATTCATGTAGATAAGGATAGATTAGAAGCAGATTCGGGGGAAGAATTTGGTTTCCAAGAATAGCACAGCGCATTGGCTGGAAACTATATTGGTCGATATATAATCGGACTCGGGTAGCCAATACTCTAATCGGATTCAAGGGAAGAATTTGGTTTCCAAGAACAGCGCAGCGCATCGGCTGGAAACTTTATCGGCCGATATAGAATCGAACTCGGGTAGCCGTTACAGGCAATTCAAGTGTATATCAAGCTCAGAGAGAAGATATGAATATATTGACAATTAAGAATAGAGTCCGAAGAGGCAATTATAACTATTTATTAAGATAAGAGTCGGTTTTCCTTTTGTGTTTTAGAAATCTACGTTAGAATCTGCAATGGGCTGGTATGTTTATATTTTGTAAAGTTTGTGTCATGCCTGATATGGAGTACTAAGGGTATAAATATATACCCGGGGTCTTGTAAAAAAGATAACAACAGTTCAATACACTCTCAATGTATCGCTAATCCTTTTGTTTTCAACTTTCTCGACGAGTTCTTGTTTCAAGTTGGGCATCGGCTTCAATCTTCCGACGAGAGGTATGACTTGTCATAGCGGCATGTTATACATTATAAAAATAGTAGATGTATATATATAAATAATGTGAAAATGATGTGAAGATAATGATTTGACATTGCTTGCATATTAAGTTCTAAAAATCAACAAAATTGTAAATGATATGCCATGTTTACATGATATTTCTAATAATCAATAATTGCTAGTAGGTGATAATGTGGCACACTTGCATATGATTTTAAATACTCTAAATAATAATTACTAATGGTGATGATGTGATACACTTGTATGTGAGCTTTAGGAGTTAGTGAGCATCAACTTTATAATAAGATAGGATAAGGATAAGGCTGAGTTCATCTCTTCATGTTACCAACCTCGCTAGTGGGTGATGATGTGATACACTTGTATATTGAGCTTTAGAAGTTAGTGAGCATCAACTTTATAATAAGATAGGATAATGATAAGGCTAAGTTCATCTCTTCATGTTCCCAACCTCCACCCTCTCGTTTTACATGCGCACGCTTCCCAAATTACTAAACGATACGTTTTTTTTAAAAAAAAATTCTATAGGAAAGTTGCTTAAAAATCATACTAATTCATTTTTTGAGTTTTTTCTAACTAATACTTAATTAATAACTAGTAATCGTGCACGTGCCAGGCATGTTGGGAGAAAACAACACTTGCAAGAGTATGCTCACACACTTAAATCAGAAACATTTCTAGGGCATGTTTCCACACTGAATTTAGATATAAGATATATTTCAAGTGCATGTTCAGACAATAATCTGGATTTTATAAGTATATACCTACCAAGTCCATTATAAAATCAAATAGTTTGTGTATATTATATAATACCATTTCAGTATGAACTTGTAAAGATCAGATCATACATATTGAGGTAACACTCACATGTATGAATTTGTAAATACTAATAGCTAAGCCCCATACATTAAGAAGGGACTGTATAAAATATATGTAGATTGTATGAGTTTAGGTGAAAAGGAAGAAAAAATAAAATGTAATTTCCATGACTGATATACCAAAAAAAAAGATTTGAGTATGCATGCCCATGCTAACGGTACGGTAGCACTTGATAGTTCAAATCAAGCAACATATTAAGAAACAATATATGTTGTGATAATAAGTATAAAATGATATATACATATATAGACTTAAAAGGTTCATGAAAAGGGAAACAATAAAAATAGTTATAATATTGTTAATTAGGAGGCTACATGTGCACAATATTATCACAACTTGTGTATTTTCTGAAACCATCTAATTCTTTTTTTGCGGGGAAAAACCATCTAATTCTTGATGTTGTAGCAATCACTACTGCAGAAGAATAACCACTACATATAAACCATCAATATAGTACATTCACCTATAAATGATAGTGCCTTAGATCATGAAAATAATCAAAGCTAAAACTCATATATGTAAAACTGTAAGTTGGATATTTATACCCCTCACCACATTATATAGAAAACCAACAATTTGAAAACTTGGTACAGCTGCGTTCAAGTCATTGATGGCAGTGAAATTTTCTACAACAAATCTATCAAAAGAAATTACCATCTTTCATTCAATAAGTTCCATAGGCTCGATCTGGTCAAATTTATATTCAGGAGCACAACATATGTTCAGTGCCACTTGAACCTCCATTTTTTTTCAATCTGTCTGCCATATCAATCTCCTGATCAGCTTTACTTCATGCCACATTGCCACCTACCAACCGCTGCACATATATTGGACACGACCACAAATGTTACACCAAACTGAGGGCTAAACTCATAACCTACCTTCCTAACTTCTTTAGGTATATCGGTCCTTCAGGCTGCAAGCATCAATTGCATCATTCCCTTGGCCTCTGCAAAGTGACTAACATGGGTATAGAAAGCCTAGTGGTTACAGTGACGTGAGTAGTACCCCAAGGTCCTGAGTTCAAATCTCCTATGGATGCCACATAATCCATCAACTTCTTTTTTCTAGGAGGCTCCAACAACTCCACCCGAGTAGTGCACCTAGATCAAACCCAAATAATATACCGTGCTAAGAACCATGATGCAAAGTTGTTTTCCAATGCCCATGCTAACAGTACAATGATGGTTGGTGTTTGGTAAGCAAATTATTACATGCAGTGGCAATGCAATTTTACTAATATGTATCATTCTCCAAAGATGTTTGACAATGCAAGTACCATATCATTCCTCATTACTTTCTCATCCTAGACAACACCAAAGTACAATTTGAAGTTCTCAAATAAGCTCATCTAAGTTCTGAAGTCTAAACATCTATGTTCTCTCTGAATTAATCTGAATCACCATAGTAAACAATATGGAAACCCCAAAACCAATATTTGCTGGTCATGCCAAAGCAAACAGGCCACTGAAGAAAGATTCAATATTACCATGTTCATAAATAAATTTCGCCCATTAATAACTGAAGCAGGACAATTATGCTCTAATTTTTGCATGCAGTGTGCATTGCTCTAATTTTCGCCAATATTGCTCTAATATCGGAGCAGTAGAAATTGTTATATGCAGTAACTTTGAATGGTTCACGAAGGAGAATATTTTCTTGTCACACAGTTAAACCCATATACAGGAAGATGCTAGGTTGATTTGTATTTATTCCAAAAGGGAAGAATCAGTAATAGAAATCCTCATTATCAACGAAACAAAGTCATAGAAAACTCCTAATCTAGTACAGTTCACTTGATCCCCATGGTGCATTCAATAGACTGACCTATCTTTTATTTTTTGAATGTGACAGAACCGAATTGGGAAAATACAATTCTACTGTGATCCGAGTTCCGAGACAGTCATGCCGTGGTTTGTCAAGGGCAAACAACCAAAGCTAAAAATTCAGCACACAAATTATCTAAACCAAAAGAACCCATAGCAACGTCAAGCACCAGCTTTAACTGTTGGAGCAACCAGCAGCAACATGAATCCGTCGACGCAGCTTACCTCATCCACCTGCACAAGAACCAGCTCTGCAAGATCAAACCATGATGCGTCTATAACCCAGCAAAAATTAATCAAACCCGACACGATTGCGAGATCCAATTCCTAGTTCCAAAGCAACGGACCCACCTCCAATCCTTCCCTCGCCTTCCTCTCTCACGCACCGCCAGTTTGGCCACTCCGAGTTTGGCCACTCCGAAGCCCGATCTGGCTGGATTGGATGGGAAGACGAGGCGAGGCGCCAGCAATCCTGCCTAACCATTTGTCCCAAAAACAAAACCCTAAAGGCATACCATCGAGCTCGAAGGGAGCAATGGCACAATATACTTGTCAGGAGCCACATAATTTTTGCGGCGGAGTGACGACGGCGCGATGGAGACCACACGGCGTCGCGAGTCGATATGGAGGCGGGAATCGAAGGCGTCGTCAATGGTGTGGCGTCGGCGAAGTCGCGAGCCAGAGAGGAGAGGAGGGGGCGCGGTGGCGTGATGCGGAGAGGAGAGGAGGGGGCGCAACGGAGAGGAGCACGATCTGAGGGAGAAGGGTGAGGAGGGGAGCGATTTTTTCTTGTTTTCTTTTTCAGTTTGACCGATCGTTGTAACCGCAGATTAGTTGGGGTGGAATCACTAATTGGAGGGGAAGATTCAACTCTAGATATAATTTGTTGGATGAATAGATCTAAGAGTCACGAAAAATAGATGTTTGATGAGCTCGTACTTTTTATAAGTAGAGATTTGACCGATCACTGTAACCGTAGATTAGTTGAGGTGGGATCGCTAATTGCAAGGGAAGATTCAACTCTAGATATAAGCCGTTGGA